CTCAGAATTACCTCCAATAGTCTCCCCACATTAGACTGACAGGCTTGTAGTTTCCTGGTTTATGCCTTGCTCCCATCTTGAATAATGGTACCATATCAGCTGTCCTCCAGCTCTCTAGCACCTCTCCTATGGCCAGAGAGGAACTGAAATTTTTTGTAAACATCCCTACTATTTCCTCCCTTGTCTCATTCAACTGTCACATGGTCTTGACAGAGTTGAGCCTCGGTCCACTGGCAAAGCAATTCCAAGGCAGTTAGAGGCCAGTTCTGCTATGAGACATTAGCATGGTCTATGCATGTAATCTGCGGTCAGAATCTAACTGACATGCCATAGCAGTCTCACAGGTAACTCCTAGTTTTAAAATACATGCATTGTCATGTTCAAAAAATCTCGATCTCCATGCATCCCTCTTCCAATTTCATTTTTTTCTCTTCCATTTCAAATTAAGAATGATTTACATTCTTAAGTTCCTCTATATTTGTTGGTTCTGCCATCAGGCAGCGAACTCTGTTCATTGGCTGCTTGCTAAGTCTTTTGTCGTATGGTTTCAGGCCCATATCTGAGAGTTTGGGTTCAAGGCAGAGTGGTTGAGAAGAAGGTAATGTCAAGAAACAAAAACAGAAATTTCTGGAAGAATTTATCAATTCTGGCTGCATCCGTGGAGAGAAAGCAGAATTAATGTTACGAATCCAGTGGCCTTCTTCAGAAGGGTCTGAAGGATCTTTGGTAGCGTCACTGGACCTGAAATATTGACACAAGAACTGTCTTCGGACTTTGGCTTCTTTGTAACACCGTTTATTAAATATTAAGACTAAATCTGCAACACTAGATATTCAGTGATATACCAGGCTCTAATGTCACTGCTACGTTATTGAAATCCATAAACTTTAACTCTAAATTCTAATCAGTATATTTCACGTGCTTGTCTCTTCATTCCGGCTCCACCCACACTGTACTATTTGCGGCCAGTGAGGAACAGCTCCGTGACATCATCACAAGATTGCTCGCGAGTCCTAAAGCCCTTGTACAACAGGTCACCCCCTAATCCTGCCAGTCTAGTTGTGGGCTCTGATCGTCATGGCCCCATGATATGATTGCTGGAAAACAATGATAGGGTTTACAGAGCAAACTCAGAAAACCAAGGTGTAGATGTCACTCTCCTATCATGAGCTGTGCAAAATGAAAGTACCAAAAGCATTGTAAACGGAGGCCTAATGTCAGCACTAAGACTGAGGACCAACTAATTCATTTGGGCTAATAATGTCAGCATTATTGTCTTTAAGTTTTCCCACCAGGGAGGTTAACCTGATTGGGCGGTAGTTTCTGGGTACATCACCCTTCTCTTTTTTGTAAACACAGGTTTAACATTCACAATTCTCCACTATTCTGGCACCATCTCTGATCTAACACAGATTAGAAGACCCAGGTCTTGTTGAATTCTAGGTTTGAGCCTGAGAAGTTCCATTCTTACTTCTCATCCAGACAGGGTGACTTTGAGGGCTACCAACCTTTTAATTACCTCCTCTTTATATTTACCCTCTCCACAGTATCACTACTTCCATCTTCTTTAATGCTACATTGCATTTTGCTGCACTAGAGAAAAGGGGATATGGTTAAAGTGCTCACTCAGTACTTCAGACATGACCCTGCTTCCACAAGATTGTCCCTGAGTAACCCCATTCTCCCTTTGACTGCTTTTCACTATTTATTCATTTCAAATAAAATAACTCATGGACTCCCCTTAGTTTCCTATTAATTTACTGTCATACACTCCTCCTTGCCTCCTGTTCACCTCTGTAGTTTCACATTCAGTTTGGATCTCCAATCTATCATGAACTGTACGATTGTCATTTTTTTTATTACATGGGATGTGGACATTACTGGCTAGGCTAGTATTTATTGCTATTTTACAGTCTTATTTAAACCTACATCTTCATTCATCTATACAGCTCTGTGTCTGAACCATTTTCTCTTTGAAGGTCTCCCGCTATTCAATGGCTGCTTTGTCTACTAATTTCTGATTCCAAGCCACCTGGGCCAGAGTCCTTTTTAACTCACTGAAGTTAGTTATCTGCATCTTTTCCTTTTCCATAAGTATTCTAAACCTGACAATATTATGATCACTATTCCACAAATGCACTTCCACTGTAACACTTGCCTCATTTCTTTCTCCAGAACCAAATCCAGAAAGCTACCTTTCTCATTAATCAAGAAAGTTCGCCTTTCAGGAATTCCTCTGTTATTAATCTTTATTGTTACTAACCTAGTCTTTATTAGGATAACCAATGCACCCCATTATCAGTACCTATATTTCTCACATCTTCCTTTTCTGCAAATTTGCTCCTCCATATCCTTCTCACCACTGGATTACCTATAATGCATATCCGGCAATCTAAAAGTTTCTGCTATCATTCCTTAATTCTAACCAAGTAAATTCTTCCTTTGATCGTCAATTACATTATTTTCTCAGTGCTGTATAAATTTACTTGATTAATGTTGCTAACACCCTCTGCTCACCCTATCTTCCCTGAACTTGTAGCCAGAGAGATAAAATCCATAATTACTCCCTTGCTGTTATTGTCACTATATCATAGTTCCATCTCTCTCTCTCTCTCACTCACACACACACACACACACACACACAGCAAATCCATCTTAAACATCTCACATATGTCCCTGAGAGTCACAGAGTCGGGCAGCATAGTACCAGACCCTTTGGTCCAACCCAGACATCCCAATCTGACCTACTTCCATTTGCCAGCACTTGGCCCATTTAACTCTAAATCCTTCCTATTCATATACGCATCCAAATGCCTTTTAAATGTTTTAAATGTATCCGCCTCCACCATTTCCTCTGGCAGCTCATTCCATACACTACCACCCTCTGCGTAATAAAACCTCTCAAGTACTTTTTAAATCTTTGCCCTCTCACCTTAAACATATGCCTTCTTGTTTTGGAATGCCCCACCCTAGGAAAAACTCCTCAACCTTGGGTATACACACCCCTCATGATTTTATAAACCTCTATAAGGTCACTCCTCAGCCTCCGACACTCCAGGGAAAAAAAGCCCCAGTCTATTCAGAGTCTCCCTATACTCAAACCGTCCAGTCCCAGTAACATCCTTGTAAATCATTTCTGCACCCTCTCAAGTTTAACAACATCCTTCTGATAGAAGGGCAACTGGAATTGTATGCAGTATCCCTCCTTTTTGTGAGGTATTCTTTACACTGGTGCTATTTCCCCCTCCCAGTTCATGTACACTGACCCTCTAATGCTTCATAGAGGTGCTAACCTCCCCCTCCCCATTGACTTCAACTAATCCCCAAGGCACCAGTCAACTTTCTGCAAGGACACTTAGCTTCAGTTCTGTTTAGATGCAACTCACCAAATTTAACAGATCCCTCCTGTTCCAAAACTGATTCCAAAACCCCCTATCCAAAAGTTTCATTCTATCCACACATTAACATGATGTCTCCCTACAATTCCTATACTAAGTAGCACATGGAACTGGGAAGTCCCATCTTTTAAGCTTCCTCCCAAGTTATGAAAACTGACTGCAGAACCTTTAACCTCTTCCATCTATGTCAATGGGCTGATTTATGCCTTCCCCACTCCCCACCTACATTGTAGAACAATGTTCTACATCTTCTTCTGTTGTCCTTCAGCCAGGCACAAGGGCAGTGACACTCCACACAGAACTCCCATCGGCTGCTGTCTATAATGATCACTACTGAATCCTCTGTGACTTCTGCATATTTAAAAATACATTCATGGGATGACAGTGTCACTAGCATTCATTGCCCTGGCAATTCCATGTAACTGCTGCACATTAATTTGTTCCATGAGTGGAGTCTTCCAGGGGTCTTTGCTAAGGTTTGAACCTTTTACAATTTACTTCAATGACTTAGATCAGGGAGTGAAGGCACGGAAACTAAATGCACAGATAACACCAAGGTAAGTGGGAAATCATGTTATGAAAAATAAGTAAGGAAGTTGCAGGAGAAAAGATCGATTGAATGAGTGGGCAAAAATCTGTCCAATCACATATAATGTGGGGAAATGTGAAGTTGCTCACTATGGCAGGAAGACTGAGAAAACGGAGCATTATTCAAATAGAGAACAATTGGGGAAATTCAAGGTGCAGAGGAATCTAGGTGTTTGTGTACATGCATCACAAAAAGCTAGTATATAGGCATAGCACATTTTTAAGAAGGCTAATGAGATGCTACCTTTATTTTACATGAAGATTTGAATATAAAAGTAAGGATGTTTGAGTGAGGCCCCATCTCGAAAACTGTGTACAGTTTGGTCTCTTTATTTAAGAACGGAAATAAATACATTACAGGCAGTTCAGAGGAGGTTTACTAGACTGATACCTGGAATGAGAGTTGTCTTATGAGGAAAGGTTGAAGAGTTTTCACTGGAGTTTAGAAGACTGGTGACTGGATTGAACTGTACAAGATTCGTAACGGTCTTGACAAGGTGGGCACGGGAAGGTTGTTTCTCCTTGTGGGTGAATACAGTACTAAGGAGGCACTGATTTTAAATTAGGGGTCATTGTTTCAGGGCAGATGTGAGGTTTTTTTTCTCTCTCAGAGGGTTGTTCTATTTAGTTCAACTTTGCCTTTGACAGTTTTAATATGGAAGGGCAAAATGTACCTGCGCAGGATGGAGGGCTGAAGGGCCCGTTCCTGTGCTGTACTGTTCTTTGTTCTTCGATTGGCAGTGGAGTTAGGGTCATTGAATAACCAGAGCTGGATAGATTCTTGTTTGACAAAGGTAATCAAGGTTAATTAGGGGTAGATGAGAATGTGGAATTTGAAACGTAGACAGATCAGTCACGATCTTATTGAATGACAGAGGCAGTTCCAGGGGCCAAATGGCCTACTTCTGTTTCTGGTTTACATGTTCATCTGTATTAGAGATTCCCTGTGTTTTGGCTGGATATTGGCTTGCCTTTTCGCGCTGGGCCCTTATTCTATGAAGGGGGATCACTTACTCCAGGCTTCCTGGAGGCAGACAATATTCACTCCACACATGGCAGCCACTTCCACAATATCTGTGATTCGTTTCTGAATTGCTGCAACCTGAGGGTTAAAAAGAAACAGGCCAGTTACTTCCTGCAGATCAGAATACCAGCCCATTAAAAACCTACAACAATTTGTAGTTTACAAAAGTTGCCATCAGTTCAGGCGAGGTGACTGTAAAGTTCCATCAACGTGTTCCTCCTGTCCCTGTTCCCATTGAATGGGAACTCTCTGAATGAAAAACGACTATCGATCCCCTGTGATTAATGTCCCCATTCAAAATTGCATTTTCGAAGACTGGTTCCAAGCTGTCTTGCCATAGTGTCATATAGAGGTGTCATTACTTATATTAGTCAAAAAATACAATTTCACCTCCCTCCCCAATACACAGTGCTCAAACTAAGACTGTCTCTTTTTTGGCAGGAAGAATCAAAAATAAGCATATTATCTAAACAATGAGAGACTGCAAAGCTCTGAGATGTACAGGAATCTGGACATCCCAGTACTTGAAATGCAGGTCATTAGTATGCAGGTACAGCATGTAATCAGGAAAGCTAACGAAATGCTACGTTTTATGTGAGGAGAATTGAATGCAAGAGTAGGGAGTACTATTATACAGTGTTGACTTCTTTGTGTGTAAATGCATTGGAAGCAATTCAGAGAAGATTTGCTAGACAAATACCTAGAATGGGCAAATTGTCTTATGAGGAAAGGTTGGATAGACTATATCTTCTATCTGCTGGAGTTCAAAAGAGTAAGCGGCAACCTGATTGAGGGATCTTGACACGGTGGAAGTGACAGGATATTTCTTATTGCGGGAAAATCTAGAATTAGGAGGGGGGAGGTCACTGTTAAAAAGTCATGCCGTACCCATTTGAGACATTGATGAGTTTAGTTTTTTTTCCCATTCAGAAGACAGTGAGTCTTTAGAACTCTGCTTCCCAAGAGGTGATAGAATTAGAGCTTGGAAAATTTTTCGGACACAGGTAGATAGATTCCTGGTAAGTATGGAGGTGAAATGTCATCAAGGGTAGACAGGAATTGGGATGATCAGATCATGTGAAGTTTTCAATAAGATTTATAGCTCAGGCTGTGGATGAGATTGTAGGCATGCTCGCCGAGCCAGTGTGTTTGGTTGCAAACATTTCGTCACCCTGCTAGGTAACATTGTCATGTGCCTCCCGTGAAGCGTCGGTGTTCTGTCCCACTTGTTATTTATACGCCTCAGTTTGCTGGGGTAGTTGGCATTATTTCCCGTTCTGTTTCTCAGTGGTTTGTACACAGGGTCTAATTCAATATGTTTGTCAATGGAGTTCCAGTTGGAACACCAGGTCTCCAGGAATTCCCTGGCGTGTCTCTGTTTGGCTTGTGCAATTATGGATGTGTTGTCCTCATCATTATGCGTGTGTAGTGAGACGAGTGAGAATTGGTCATGTCTCTTGGTGGCTAGTTGGTGTTCGTGTAACCGTATTGTCAGTTTTCTTCTGGTTTGGCCTATGTAGTGTTTCTCACAGTCCTTGCATGGTATTTTGTATATTACACCGGTTTTGCTGGTTTTGGGTATGGGATCCTTTACGTTCATCAGTAGCTGTCGTAGGGTGGTCATCAGTTTGTGGACTACTCTGATACCTAGGGGTCTGAGTGGTGTTGTGGTCATCTCTGCAATGTCCTTGATGTACGGTAGGGTGGCTAATGATTCTGGCCGTGTCATGTCTTCCTGTTGTGGTCTGTCTCAGAGGTAACGGCGAATTGTGCTTTTCGGGTATCCATTCCTTTTGAAGACTCCATATCAGTGTTCTTGTTCTGTTTTGCGTAGTTTCGGTTGCTGCAACATGTTGTGTCTTGTTTAAATAGTGTCCTGATGCAGCTCCATTTGTGGCATTGGGGTGGTTGCTAATGTAATTGAATATCTGGTCCTTACGTGTGGTCTTTCTATATACGCTCCCCCGTTGATTTTGCATTCTACCATTACATCCAGGAAGGATAGTCAGTTGTTGTTCTCTTCTTCTTTCATCAAGTTTATCCTGGTAAGGATGTTGTTTGCGTGTTGGTGGGTTTCTTCTACTTTAGTGCGTTTAATAATCACAAAGGTGTCATCTACATATCAGATCCAAAGTTTGTGTTGCACAGTGAGGAGCACTGTCCATTCTAACCTTTGCATTACTACTTGTGCAATCAGTCCTGATATTGGGGATCCCATGGTGTTCTGTTGATTTATTTGTACATGCTGTCATTGAAGGTGAAGTGGGTTAAAAGGCACAGATTTAGTAGTTTCACGGTGGTGTCCTTATTTGATGTTGTTAGTGTCCTGGGTTGCCTGCCTATTTGATTCATCCGGCAGTGTAGCAATTGTTTCTTTGGCTAGGTCGATGTTTATGAATAATAATAACACTGTTACATCGAAGGATATCATCATCTCATCCTCTTTATCCTGATGATGTTCAGGAATTCTTGAGATGAGTGGATGGAGTGGGTAGTGTTGTCCACTAAGTATTTCAATTTCTGTTGTAGTTCTTTGGCAAGTCTATATGTTGCTGTGCCTGGTAGTGAGACAATGGGTCTGAGGGGAGCCCCAGCTTATGTACCTTGGGGGGTCCTTGGAATCAGGATGTGTTGGATCCTTTGGCTTCATTTTTTGGTAGTCTGTCTTGCTGATGTCTCCTGAGTTGTGCAATTTCTTCAGGGTCATTGTAATCCGGTTCCCTAACTGTGGTGTCAGGTCTATTGCCATCTGTTAGTAGGTGTTGGTATCTGCTAGTAGTGCGTTAGCTTTCTTGATGTATTGGGCTCTATTGAGGATTACTGTCATGTGTTCTTTGTCCGCTGATAAGATTACAATATATTCCTGTCTTTCTTGAGTCTTTCCAGGGCCTTCCTATCTTCTGTGTTGAATGTGTTCCACTTTCCTTTTTGGCTCAGTGTTAGGACTATTGTCTGTCTGATGGTCTGTTGTACATTTTCCGTGAGTCTGTTGTTCTGTAGTGTCGATTCCAACGTACCTAGGAAGTCAGTCTTTTTGGCGTCTCTGTAGTTATTGTACACGAACTGAATTATAACTAGCTGAGAACTAGCTGAGTGGGCACCGTGGTCAGCATGGGCCAGTTTGCGCTGAAGGGCCTGTTTCCATGCTGTATTACTCTATGGCTCTATTATTGTAATATCTCTGACAGGGAGCACTGCATTGCAGTTTTAGCCTAGACTGTGTTCAAGCCCCCCATGAAATGGGCTATGAACCTTCTCTCTTTGAGGTGAGGATGTCGATCACTGAGTCAGGGCTGACCGTTGAACATATGACCCTTCTTTGATATAGAGTCATAGAGTCAGAGAATAATATACCATGGAGACAGGCCCTTCGGCCCAAACTGGTCCATGCTGACCACGGTGCCCACTCCAAATGCCCACATTCAGTCCATATCCCTCTAAACCCTTCTCATCCATATACCTAACCAAATGTTTTTTAAATGTTACTATTGTACCTGCCTCAACCACTTTCTCTGGCAGCCCATTCCATATACGCACCACTCTCTGCTTGAAGAAGCTGCCCCTCAGGCCTTTCTTAAACCTATCCCCTCTTACCTTAAACCTAGGCCCTCTAGTTTTCCATTCCCCATCCCTGGGAAAAAGACTATATGCATTCATCATATCTATGCCCCTCATGATTTTCTACACCTCAATAAGGTTACCCCTCATTCTCCTACATTCTGAGGAATAAAGTCCTATCCTGGCCAACCTCTCCCTATAACTCAGGCCTACTAGTCCTGCCAACATCCTCGTAAATCTTCATTGCACTCTTTCCAGTTTAACTATGTCTTTCCTGTAACAGTGTGACCAAAACTGTACACAATACTCCAAGTGCAGCCCGACCAATGACTTATACAACTGTAACCTAACGTCCCAACTCCAATACTCAATGCCTTGACCGATGAAGGCCAGCATGCTAAATGCCCTCTTCACCACCCTGTCCACCTGTGACGCTGCTTTCAACAAATATGTACTTGTATTCCTAGGACTCTCTGTTCTACAACACTCCTCAGGACCAAGTTCTACCATGGTTTGACTTTCCAAAATGCAACACTTCACACTTATCTGTTTTGAATTGCATTGGCCAATCCTCAGCCAGCTTCCTCATCTGTAATATTTGATAACAATCTTCGCTATCGATACCTAATTTTGAATCATCTGCTAACTTACTAATGATGCCTTGTACATTCACATCCAGATCATTTATATAAATAACAAATAACAAAAGGTCCCAGTACCGACCCCTGTGGCACACCACTAGTCAAAGGCCTCCAGTCCAAGAAACAACCTTCAACCATCACCCTCTGCTTCCTACCATCGAGCGAATTTTGAATCCAATTAGATAGCTCTCCCTGGATCCCATGTGGCCTAATTTTCATGACTAGACTGCCATGCGGGACCTTGTCAAAGGCCTTACTAAAGTCCATACAGACAAGATCCACTGCCCTATCCTCATTCATCCTCTTGGTTACCTCTTCTAAAAATTCTAAAAGATTTGTCAGACATGACCTCCCACGCACAAATCCATGCTGACTATCCCTAATCAGACCTTGACTATCCAAATGTTATTGTCTTTGCAAACAAACATAGGGAGAGGCAACGGCCCTGTACTAAAGAATATACACAGACCTGGAGGTTTCTGTGAAAGAAGATCAGAAATCAGACTACACCAGGTTATAGTCCACAGGTTGATTTGAAATCACAAGCTTTTGCAGCGTTGCCCCCTCGTCAGGTGTCATCTGATTTCTGATCTGGTTCACTTCAGTTGAACACTGGCACCACCAGGAAAGAAGCAAGACATACTGAGATAGTCTTAGCAATGTATAAGAAGTCTTATGCTTCACATTTTGAAGTGCTGCGTGCAAAATCAGGCATGTTATGCCAAAATTTTATAAAGCTCTGATCAGGTTCCACTAGAGTATTGCATCCACCTATACTGACCCAGCCAGCAATGCTCACATTCCCTGCACGAATTAAAAAATTAAATCAAAAATAGCCCAATTCCAAGGTGACTCTTCAGTGTACTGCTCCATAACCCA